ACCATAGGAACTAATACTAATGCAGAATTAGAAAGGGATTTAAGGAAATTCAGCACACCAGCACAGAGTACTACAACATAAAAGAAGCTTTGTTCCTCTCAAAGGTAATTTCTGTGTTGTTTCCCTAATTTAAAAAGTAATACATTAGTGAAAACATTGAGAGAGAGAGACATTTACGAAAAAATACGAATAGTGCCTAGAATCACACAACTCCGAGGGAAGTTCTTAAGAGCATTTGAGACATTTTCTTAGTTTTTAAATGAAAATGAAGTCACACTACGCATGCATCTTTGCCCGCTGCCTTTTGTGACTTAATGTTTCAGCATGTTTGCCTGCTTCAAGTTCTGTAAAACTTGATTTTCAGTGACTATGTAAATAGTCCATTTTGAGTGTGGCCATCATAACACTTCCTGCCTGCGACTGTGTGCCAAGCTCCAGCCTCTGTGGGATCTGTGGGATCCCCCAGTTTTCTGTGGGATCCCCTAAGCCAGCTTTGTGTCGTTCTTATTTCATTGTGGATATGGCTTTGGGGGCTCATCGCCCGTGAGCAGAGGGGCAGAGTCCACCCCGGCCAGGTGGTCTCGGGCTGTTGCTGGCGGCAGGGCGTGGGTTCTGTGGCAGCTCCCACCAGTCCAGTGGCAAGGCCATGAGCAAGCCACGCTCTCTCTTCTTCTCTGACCTTCCCTGTAGCCAAGGATTCTCAGATGGGAAGAACTTGAAAAACTGTCCCTCCTTCCTTTTCTCTAGACTGCTGTATGCTCAGACGCCTTGGAAAGGCAGCCCAACCAGGTTCTCTCCTGGACTCTATGTTTTTACTTAGACACTTGGTAGATTTCCTAAGACTGGGAAGAATAAACCATTGTTAAATTTGAAATTCATATGAGAGACAGAAGAGTTTGAGAAGCCTTTGTCGGCTGCCCCATCAGGTCATGTCCAGAAGGAAGAGTCCCCCTTCCTCAGCAGGACGAGGGTAGCCATCCTGACCCCAGAGGCCCCTCTGTCACCACAGGCAGTGGAAGTGTGCAGTGCCTTCCAGGGCCCATGGGGCCCCTGTCTGCCCTGTGTAGGCTTTTTGAGGTGGGAAGGGATAGAAGGCAAGGAAAGACACCAGTGGGTTAGGAAGAGTGACCACAGAGGAATAGAGTTGGCAGTTGTGGGTTTTTATTTTATTTTATTTTGTTTTTTTTTATAGACAGAGCCTCGCTCTGTTGCCAGGCACCGTGCTGGAGTGCAATGGCGCAATCTCGGCTCACTGCAACCTCCGCCTCCTGGATTCAAGCAATTCTCCTGCCTCAGCCTCCCGAGTAGCTGGGACTACAGGCTCGTGCCACCATGCCCAGCTAATTTTTGTATTTTTAGTAGAGACAGGGTTTCACCATGTTGGCCAGGATGGTCTTGATCTCTTGACCTCGTGATCCGCCTGCCTTGGCCTCCCAAAGTGCTGGGAATACAGGCTTGAGCCACCGCACCCGGCTGGCAGTTGTGGGTTTTAAAGTCAGATACATATGTGTGGTGACAAATCATTGCTCTCTGTTGACTTGCTGTGTGGTATAGGATGAGTACTCAGACCTGAGCCTCCGTTCTCCTTGTCTGCCAAAAAGACGTAACAGTCCGCCTTCATGGAGAGCTTATGGGCTTTTCTCTATGAGAGCGCCTGCCCAGGCTTGTAGTGTCACTGCTGCTGGATAACCGCTGGTCTCCTCCTTTTCATTCTTTTGTAACTACCTCCTGGGCAAATGTGGGTGCATCCTAGCACATAGTGGTGTTGCAATATTTTAAACACTGTCTGATTTTGCCCTGTTTTTCCTGGCATTTCAAACTTCCCATTTCCAAGGTTTGCAGTCCGAGAGGAAGGGGTCTATCTGCACACCCCGGAGAGACCTGCGCCTTGCTGACTTTGTGTGCCGGTGTCTTTTCCCCTTTGGGAATGTAAAGCAGGACCAGCAGGGCTGAAGCCACGCTTTCTGTGCAGCCACATCCTGGAAGCCGGGGGCATGGTGGCACTTTTGCAGGGGACTTGACTCCCCCATTCTTCCTGCTCTTGCCGAGCCCCTTTCTGGCCTCAGACCCACAGCCACTGTCCTTCACCAAGTTCCCTTGGTTGTGAAAACCATCTTCCTCCTGGTGGTCCCAGTGGCAGGATACTGAGAAGTATTGATCCATCCAGAGGGAGAAGCACGTAGCTCTGCTTAACCAGACAGGGTGCCACCCAGATTTTAGTGCAAGCACTGGAGGTGGGATAAAGGACATTTTCTAGGAGATTTTTTTTTTTTTTTTGAATGAAGAACATTCTATTTTTCATTGTAATTCTTCAGGGAGAGAGAGAATCGAGGAACAGTTTCAAATCCATGTGTTCAGCAGGGACATTTCTGGGGGCCAGCTCACAGAATGCCTGCATTTCAGAGCCTCCTCTGGTCGGGGAGGCCCAGGATGGAGGCCACTGCTGGATTCATGTCAGCTCACTCAAGATCGTATTCCCTAGCTGCTCTGAAGGAGTTGTATTGAAGGAAACCTCCAAGTTGAAAGGTTAGAAAAAGTCTAAGCCTCCTGCACTGAGAGACTTCTGCTTTAGTCCTGGAAATTCCTTTTCGGACCGTGTTACGACCTGGATATGTCTTTGAGTGCAGCTGCGAGGCTGTGCTGGCTGTCATCAGCTAACCCTAACGGGACCTCCGTCTCTGAAGCCAGTGAGTTTCCAACCTCAGCCCTGGGATGACAGTGCATTCACACGTGCTTCCCAGCCACCCTCTTCAGATCAGAGAGAACGCTTGACCACACTGTCTGCAGTTTTCTTCATTATTATGACTGTTTTTAGTTGAGACATAATAATTGTACGTACATGCTGGGGACGGTGTGATATTCTGATGAATGTGTACAATGTACAATGCTCAGATCAGGGTGATTTGCATAGCTGGCTTTTCTGTGTGCTTTGTGCAGCACTGTGTGCTGGCATGATATTGCCATGTCACTTTTGATAAAAACACCACATATGATCTTGCATGTTGAACAGAAGTAATATTCCCTCCCCTTTGAAAATGACATCTCTGGAAGTGACCTTGGAAGTTCTAGGCTGTGAGTGGACTACAATGTCAGTAAAGGGCAGGGGAGCTTTGCCACAGATAGGTCCTTCCAGCTGGAATGATTCCCTCGAGCCCAGCAGCGTGGCTCCTTTTGCGGGCGGGCAGGGAGGGGGACGGTGCGGACTAGGCTTTCAGTCACTTGCCTGTGGCCATGGCACTTCCTTTCCATCACTAACACCCAGGGCTGCCGCCTGCTCACTCTTGGAATGGCTGCAAATGCGTGTGTGTGTTGAAGAGCACTGGAATGAGGGTGGTCCCTCCCCGGCCTGCAGCACTTGCATGCTGTGGAGGGATGGTGAGTGGAGGACGAGGACCACTGCACCGTGGGGGCGGGGTGCTGTAGTGAGGGGCCCCCGTGTGAGCACGACTCTCAGATATGCAGCCTCATTTCATTTCATCCTGACTCCTGTGTGGGAGGGAAAAGAGAGCATTATGCTCATTTTACCCATAAAGAAATGAGGGCTGAGGAGGTCCTGCAGCTGGTGAAGGATACACGTGAGACCCCAAATCCCAGGTCCTAATGCACACTTCTTCCTCCTTCTTTCCTTGGATTGCTGGAGGGAGCTGCCGGGAATTGGAGAGCGGACGGAAGGAAGAGGCAGAAGGATGCTTGGAAGGACCTGGGTTTGGCTCTCCCTTGTTTGGTCACTGCTGTGTGGTGCCTCCTGGGACAGGGAGGATGGTACCCAGCCTGGCTCAGCCCAGGAGCCTCCTTAAGCCCCACTTGAGTGGCACCTGGTAGCTGGGAGGGTCAGGCAGTGGAGCACTTCCATGCTGCAGACAGAAACAAGAACCCTCACTGCAGTCCTGGTGCTCCTCTCAGGCAGGCATGGTGGGTTGATGTCCTGTCCCTCTCTGTGGGACCGTCCCTTTATCGTGCCAACCTTTGCATTCCTGTGAGCTTCTGAAGTCTCTGGATGTGGGAGGAGAGACAGGGAGGTATCAGTGGCTTCTCATCGGCTTAGCACGACTGTGTCACTGCCATGATGTATTTCCCTTTGGAGAGCGGCCATCAACCAGTTTGGAACAAAGTCATTCTAAGAGGAGCCTTATGTGGGCCACACATGGGTGAATGAAACTCCATCTTTCAGTGAAATACTACTCTGAACTCTGCACTTACAGGGAGTATGTATTTGTAGTTTGAATCTAAACTGTAGATTTGATGTTGCTAGGTTTGGATTTTCAGACTCTGTTATCAGTAGAAACATTCTTTTAATAGCCAGCAGCGGGTTTTTCCTAACTGCCAAATCATAAGAATCCCTGGGAAGAGGTTGTAGAAAATTAGATCCCAGACCAACTTCCATTTTTCCCCCAACACAAAGAGAACAGAATTTGATCAGGAGTGGGGACTCTGGGGATGTGTGTCAGGAATGACCACCTGTGGTGTTTCTGGCAAGGAACGTTTGGGATGGTGAATGTTTATTGTTGATGCTTGAAATGATGGGTTTTATTGCCCTCCAGAATTTCCCATTGCTGAGATTCAGATTATCGTAGTCGGGCCACGTTCTGCCCAGGGTCACCATAGGTGACAAGGTCCTCAGGGCACTCTGGTCCTGACAGGGCCCCAGGAGTGGCACCATCAGTCCTACCCAGCACCCCTTCCGGGCACTGTCCTTTCCCAGCACTGCGTGTGAGTCTGGGTGCTTGGCCCTGTCCCCAGGCGGCCTGTTCTGGAAGGAGTATACCAGCCTGGGGAAGCTGCGTGTTTCCAGGGCTGTGGCTTTGTTCACCCCCTAGAGTCTGAGAATGCCCTGGGTTTCCCATCACCTGCCTGCAGCAACCACAGCATCTTCCTGGAACAGTGGTGACCGGGAAGCAGGATATGGCACCTTTGAGAAGCAGCAGGCAAGATTTAAGGAAGGGGTGCCTCACTTCACCGGGAGGAAGCGCCCTGCAACCCGCTTGTCTCCCTTTTAACAGGCTCCTCAGCTGACCAGCCCCTGGGCGGAAGACTCAGGAAGCTGAGCCTAGGGCAGTATGACAATGACGCTGGAGGACAGCTGGCCTTCTCCAAATGTGCATGGGGCAAGGCTGGCGTGGACCATGCCCCGAACCTGCCACCATTCCCATCGCCAGCGGGCGTCAAAGAGGTATGTGCCACAGCCAGGTCCCAGCCTCTGGGGCTGTTCCACTTGCTTTCTTGTGCTGGAACTCAGGGTGAATGGGCAGTGACCTGGCCTTGTCCCTGAATACAGACAGCCCGCACTACCCTCTGCATTTGCCTTCTGTCCTGGTTCCACAAATGTGGTTGTGGCTCCTCTTACCTGGCAGGTGGTGTGGTTGGGAGAGCACAGTGGGCAGTCAGCTGTCCTGGGTGATGAGCCCCAGAGCTAGCTATGCAGGTGGGGCCGCCTCACTCAGGGCATCTGAGCCTCTGTGTTCTGATCTGTAGAATGGGTAGGAGGAGCACAACACGTGGGTAGGTTGTGTGGGTTGGAGGTAGGACTCTTACAGGCCTGGCCTTAGCCATTCTCCATAACCCGACAGCAGCAGCCAGTGGCACACACAGCCTTTCTTCAGGGTCATCACACAGGGTCCTCAGTCCTCCCTCCAAGACCTTCCTAGGAGGTGACCCACAGGTGAGGGCCACAGACAAGAGCTTCTTGCTCTTCTAAGAGGCCTAGATAGGGCTTCTGATCAGAATGGAAGCAAAGAAGGTTGGTGTATCCAAAATGATGAATCTTTTCACACGTGGGTAGGATTTTTTTTCAAGCTGGAAAAGTTGGAAACTACAGAACAGATAAGGAAAGAAAGTGATTCACAGTCTTGACTCACAAACAAAACTACTGTTAATATATAGAATGTTTCCACCTGGCCTTTTTTCTATGCTATGTGTTTAAAATGCTATGTGCTTTCATGCATTTGTGAATGTATTAATATCACAGTTAGCGACTGTTTTATCCAGATTTTTGGCTTAATATTGAGAAACTCATTTACCCGTACCATTCCAAACTCTGTCTACTTCACTTGTTAGTTGTGTATTGTATCAGAAGGATGGGCCAGAAGATCCTTTCCATTTCCTTCGCTGTTGAACATGCAAGTGTTTCCAGTTTTCCATGGCTAGAAGAGGCGGGCTGGTTTTGTGGCATGGACCCGGACCTCAGCCTCCAAGGCCTGCCGTCAGAGGAGACGTTTGCTCAGTGGGCCAGCTTGGCGGAGCCTTCACTTGACTCCCCGTTCTCACATTCTCCTCCCTGTGCCAATTTCAGACGATGACCCCTGGCTATCCCCCAGACCTCGATATGATTGATGGCAGGATTGTAAGTGGCAAGGAGGCCATGTGTTCAACTCCAGCATTTCCTGTGTCTCCAGAAACACCGTACGGTAAGAACGAAGTAACACTAGCTGCATGCTGCTCCGTGCCTAAGGAGGGTGACAGCAGCCCCTCGCTCTGCTTTCTTTTCTAGTGAAAACAGCTCCGCGCTATCCTCCGTTCAGCCCACCCGAGCCCCTGCTGAGCAGCCCCGCCAGTCAGCACAAAGGAGGACGTGGTAAGAAATTCACCCGCGAGTCACAGACGTGGCAGCTCAGGCACCGTCGCCATTTTTACAGAGAACTCTTATGCAGAAATATTTCCATTCGTGTCGTATCTCAGAAGCCTTGCTGGGGAAGATGCAGGCATGCGGTCGTGAAATCCACTGTGTGGTGGCGTCCTGGCCTTGCATCGCTGCCTGGCCTCCTGGGGGGAACCTTGCTGTTCAGCCTCTTCATCTGCGGCTGATGGAACTATCCATGGTGTCAGTCGGCAGCTTAGCATTGGTGCTTCTGAAGAAACTAGAGTGCCCACCCCACCCTTTATGTTCTCTGTGGGGATGGTGCCGCACGACGTCCCTACCTCTGCCACCCCAGCTGCCTTCTCACGCATGCCTTGCGGCTTCTCCTGCCTGCCATTTGTGCGTGCCTGATCGTTGTCCCTGGATCTCCGCAGGCGCTCAGGGGCTCTGTCCATGGTCTGATCTCATCAGTCTGTCTGCATAGCTGGCTCAGGCGAGGGAGTGTTAGCGGGCGGTGTTTGGGGTGAGTTACCACACACTTCTTCCAGGTGGATTGAGGACTTGCTTGAGAGTCCACGACAAGGCTGAGCTCGGGCAGGTGGAGAGAGGATGTAAACTTAAAGCCTGTGCACATTTCAAAATCATTCTTCTCTGGGATTTCTGTTCGTTGTGCTGCTGCTTTTCTGCCCTGGTGAAGGATGCTGTTCACGGTTATTAGGCACGTTACCTGAGGGTGAGAGCTTTTCATTAACTTGCATTTTCATCCGCACCTTACCCAGGAGTGTTTTGATCATGACAGCTAGCTCCATTTCCCCCTCTTTCTCCAGAGTAAACTGAGCCTGTGGACCATGTAATAGAAAAATGTCCTTTTCCTAAAATTCCCTTTATGGTTTCAGGAGCATAAATGACTCTCTTCATACATAGCATATAGCTGCTAAACTGCCCGTATTACTCAATAAGTGTGACTGAAATTTCAAAAAAGCTGCATTTTAATGTATACATAATATGAGCATTACATGAGAGGGTTGTGTGTTCCCGCATGCATTAGCGTGATGGACTCACACATAGGTAGCTATGTGCCTGTTCTGTATTTTTAATCATTACAATAGATGCAGAAAGAGGGACGTCCCTTCCACCCCATGTAGCCGCTTCTCCTCATGGACGTGACTGTACTTGGCTCCTAGCTTGAAAGTGTTCAGTGAATTTGGGCTGGCACCTAACCTTCTGGCCTGGAATCCCATCTTCTGCTGCAACACCAGAACCAGGTTCATTTGAAATAGGTAGATGACAAGCAGTGGAAAGTGAGTAATAAGGCTGAGGAAAGAAAATGCTAGAAACAGACTGCAGACTCATTAACAGCTCCTGAGGGAGGCCCCCGAGATCACCGTATTGCACATAAGAGAATGCTGAGCCCTGTCCAAACTCCAGAAGGGTATAGGAGGCTGCAGGAAGCCTGGGTGCTCAGCCTGGGGTACCCAGTGGTCTGGCTGTCTTATGCTGGCCCGATTGTCCCAGCCTGGAGATAGATAGTAGTTGGCTCCCGTGTGTGAGTGAGCACCGGACCGTGTGTACATGAGGATGGCCCTGCATACCAGCATGTGTTAGATTCCTGGGGCTCCGACTTGTCCTGAGTACTATTTGCATGTAAGCATTCACATGGAAGAAGTTCTGGCTTTGCCTTTAAATATGTAAAGGAGACGTGATAAGAATGTTAATGTGAGCCTTCTAGATTTTTATTTCAGCAGTCCCCAGGGAGGGTCAGCTTTACCTTCGTCCACAAGGAACACAGAGACACACAGTGTTGACTTAGTAGACGCTTTCATCCGACAGCGTGGTGAGCCCGTGCCCTTGCCTGGAGGCTCCACCAGCTCTGCAAAGTCAGGTGGAGTCGTGAGACTGCTCTGAGGGCACAGTAATAACAAGGTAGTTGGCCTGTACAGAATGTGTCCTTGATCTTTATAGAATGATTTCCTTCCATTTCACAGTCACATTCTATGGGTCACTCTTACTGTGGCCCCCATTTTGCAGGCGAGAAAACTGACATGAAGAAGTTGGGTAGCTAGTAAGTAGCAAAGTCAGTGTGTCAGCTCCATCAATGGACGCCACAGCCATGGCAGGTGACACAGGGCTGATGTTTCACTTTTTTTTGTCTAAGCTAGATGAGAACTAATGTCACAACTGAAAAAGCGCATTGAAAGTCTCAGAGCTATGCAATAACCATGTGATTTGTACATTTAGGTAACCCCTATGAACCTCCACCTCCTTATCTAAAAATGCAGACTATGTAGTACCTGCCATCCACAGCCACTGTGCAGTTTTGAAGTCGTAAGCTTTAGGTATCTGCAGGAATGCTTAACTGGGAACCATTTAGGCCTAGATACTGATGTGCATATGAATGACAGTATTCGCTTTAAAATACCATTAGGGAGAGCCTTCACTTTCCAGAGGGTGAATTAGACATAATTCTCTCTATTTTTCCTGCTAAGTACAATTTAAAGCCTTGGGCAATAAGTATAAGACAAATATAAGAAAGGCCTGAAAGATGGGGGGAAGAAGGCCAGTTAACCATGGACCTCAGGGCCAAGGGACCAGTAGGACTTATTTATAGAATGTATGGGAAACTAAAAATAACTGAACCATGCAGAACATGTTCTCCAACCACAGTGGGCTCAAAGTAGAAATCAGTAACATAAGGGTAGCAGGAACATCTTCAACACTTGGAAACTGAATTGCACACTTATAAATAATCTATGGGTCAAGGAGGAAGTCTCGAGGGAAATTCAAAAACATGCTGAACTGAATGAAAATGAGGATAAAATATCAAAAATCGTGGGACATGGTTACAGCAGCACTGAGGGGAAAATTTATAAGAGTAAATACATACCTTGGGAAAAAAGAAGATTCTAAAGTGAATAGTTTATGCTGTTACCTCCATAACCTAGAAAAAAGAGAGCAAACCAAACCCACAGGGAAAACAATCAGTAGCCACCAAAAGCTCACACCTTACACAAAAATTAACTTAAAATGGAGGATGGACTAAAATGTAAAATGTAAAATATAGTATTTTTTAAAATGGGGGGGAAATCTTTGGGATCACTAGGCAGAGAGTTATGAGGTAGAACGAAAGCATGAACCATACAAGGAAAAGTTGCTAAATTAGACTTTATAAAAATTAAACAGTTTTCTATGGAAAGAATCTGTGAAGAGGATAAAAAAGACGAACTACAGAGTGGGAGAAAAGATTTGCAAACCACATGTCCAAAAAAAGGAGTATCATCTAGAACGTATATAATCTCTTAATACTCAGCGGTAAAGAACAGACAATTCACTTGGAAAAGGAGCCGAAGTATTATTAATAAGTCAAAAAGCAACGGACACTGGCAGGCTGCGGAGAAAGGAATACGTATGTATACACTGTCGGAGAGAATGTGAATCAGTTCAGCCATTGTGGAAAGTAGTTTAAAGATTTCTCAGAGAACTGAAAACAGAACTGCCATTTGACCCAGCAATCCCATTACTGGGTATATATCCAAAAGAAAACAAATCATTCTAACAAAAAGACACATGCACTTGTATTTTTGTCACAGCACAATTCACAATAGCAAAGACATAGACTCAACCTAGGTGCCCATCAGCAGTGGATTGGATAAAGAAAACGTGGGACGTTGACACCGTTGAAATACTCCGCAACCATAAAAAAGAACGAAATCATGTCCTTTGCAACAACGTGGTTGCAGCTGAGCAAATTCAGTATCCTGAGCAAATTCAGTATCCTATCACTATTCATTGTCCTAAGCAAATTCAGTATCCCCTGAATTTAAAATAAAAGTTGAAAGTAAAAAGGAAGGAGAATGGTCCAAAGAAAGGAAGAGGATATAGAGGTGGCGTATGAGCACGTGAAAAGATGCTCGACATAAATAGCCAGTAGCAATATATGAATTAAAGTCATGCTTTGATGTTACTACACCCCTATCAGAATGGCCAAAATAAAAAATGGTGACAACACCCAGTACTGGTGAGCATGTGGAAAAACTGGACCCCTTATACGTTGCTGGAGGGATTGTTAGAATGGTGCAGCTTCTTTGGCAATTTCTTAAAAACAAAAACCTACATCTGCCATATGACTCGGTGATTGCATTCTTGGGCATTTATCCCAGAGGAGGATATTTACGTTCACATAAAGACCTGTATAGAAACCCTTTATCTTTAATAGCCCCAAACTGGAAACAATGTAGATGTCATTCAACAGGCTAGTGGCTAAACAAACTGTAGTACATCAATACCCTGGAATGCTTCTCAGCAATAAGAAGAAGTGAATTATTTATACACACAGCAACCTAGATGGGTCCTAGAAATTAGGTTGAGTGAGAAAAGTCAAAACCCGAAGTCTATATGGTGTATGATTCCATATATGTCATGCTTTTTACATGGCAAAATTATAGATACAGAGAACAGATTCATGTCCGCTAAGGGTTGGGAGGGGCAAGGGTGGAAGGGGAATGGAGTAGCCAAAGATGCAACAGGAGAAGTCATCATGGGGCTGGAACTTCTGTCTGAACTGTATCAGTGATAGTATCTGGGTATGATTTGCATGATGCTGCTACTGGGGGACATCGGATGGAGAGGTCAGGGTATCTCTGTGCAGTTTCTTAAAACTGGATGTCAATCTACAGTGATTTCAGAAAGTAAAAGTTTAATTTAAAAAGATCATTGGGGGACATGGTGTGGGTGTTGTTGAAACAGTATTTTTCGTCAGTTGAGAATAGTTGAAGTGGGTGAAGTCTACATGGAAGTTCATTATAGGGTTCTTCCCATTTTCATATCTGTTTGGGATTTCCTGTAAGAAAACATTAGAATGTAAAGTCAAGTAATACCTGGCTGCTGCCCACACCTGTTTACCAAGCACTTCAGTCCTAGATCCTCTGCTAGGTCAGTGAGAGATCAGAGAGACCCAGCCCTGCCCTCATGGAAGTATAGCTGGCAGAACGGGGATGGGA